GCATGACGAGACCTACTTCTGTGTGCCTACCTCCCCCCTTCTCATCTTTTTTTTTCCCCTTTCAGACAGGGTCTTATTCAGTTCAGGCTTTCCTGAAAGTAGCCATGTAACCCAGGACAACTTTGAACTTCTGATTCTCACACCTCCTTTACTTGTATTCAATGCTGGGGACTCAACATAAGGCTTCAAGTACACTAGGCAAGCACTCTACCAACTGAGCTCCATTCCCTGGATATATACCATTTTCAATGAGAATGATAAGAGAAAGTATGTATGGCAGAGGCATGTGCCTCTGTGTGTGTGTGTGTGTGTGTGTGTGTGTGTGTGTGTGTGTGTGTGTGTATGTGATATAGACATGTGTGTATATACATGGACATTAATGCAGTCATAGGGCATTATCTTTTTTTTTCTTTTGGTTTTTACGAGACAGGGTTTCTCTGTATTGTTTGGAGGCTGTCGGTCCAGCCTGGCCTCGAACTCACAGAGATACACCTGCCTCTGCCTCCCGAGTGCTGGGATTAAAGGCGTGCGCCACCACTACACGGCCATAGGACATTATCTTGGTTACTCAATGTCCAATCCTTCTCTGTGTGTGGAAGGACAGTTCACCTAACTATCGAAGATTTTTGACATCTCATTAGGGTCTGTATTAACCACATATGGATATATTTTTAAACAATCTAGGAAAATGAAAAGAGTAGGAGACGAGCACTATCCTGAATAATCTAGAGTAAATAAATGCCTTGAAAATATGAATAAGCTTATAGAGGACCTTGAACTTCCTACTTGTAATCCCTGCCTTCCAAGGCTATGTATTCCTATTCTTTTCCTTCATCAGTGCTGTCCTTTCCCAAGGTTCCAATAGGTTCTTAATAGGCTGCCTGCAGAGGCTGGTAAACCCATAATATTATGAACCAGGGACCTGGCAACCAGCACACTGCTTCTTTACATGCTCCACATATCACAACACTATGAGGAGTTATTTTCTCCTGGGAGCCAGGGGTGGAGGTGGCTGGAAACACTGCTGGAGCTGGTCTCCTGCTCCAGAGACTGCATCTAGGCTTGGGCACAAAAGCAAACTTCCAACTAGGAAAACTGTCTCTTGAGCAGTCATCCCAGGACACTAACTCCTCTCACAAATCCCTTGGCAGTCGACAACCATGGGACAAGAAACGAAACCCTAAAATTAATGTGGCAAAAAGAGCAGATTGAACTCAACAGCTGCAAACCATCCAACTGCCACCGACAAAATCTCCAGTCACACTCTTCTGTTTATCTCAGGAATCCAGAACCAGTAAACCAGCCAGGCCCTAGTGCACCTGTCTGACTGCTTCTTACACAAATCCTCAGCAAGAACTGATTCTCAGAAAGCCACATGGTGTGTTGCATTTTCTCCTGTCACCAATAGACCCACAAAGAGCTCCTTCTACAGAAAAAGAAGGGCTGACATTAGTACTCCGGCCTTCCATAGGGTCTATTATCCAGGTCTGCCATACCAATGACTTTGGTCTCCCCTCAAGCAGCAAAAACAGTTACTCCTAATGCATCAAGTTTGCACATTTCCAAAATGTGCAATTCTACTGAATGTCCTGCTCATCTGGTTGCACTACTTCATAGATCTAACAGAGTATAGGAAAGACATGAAGTTCAAAGTCTTGGATTGGTTGGACATGGCTCCCCCGGGTTGGTTTCTAAGTCACATTTATAGCACTGACAGAACCAGCCTGGGATACATAAACCCTCATGTGGGTGGGTATCCTGGGTACCCATTTTATAAGTATTTACTGAGTGTCCCACCAGAATGCTACTTGTCTGCAAGTCAGTCAGGTGAGGTTCCCATGAGGGGGCTGGGATGATGGAATTGCCCAGTGCATGGGGAGATATATACAGTTTGGGCCACTGTCCAAGAACAGGCAACAATGGCTCCTTTTTGACTTGGTTGAGCATAAAAGGGATATGCAAATCTGTGAAAGATTTGTAGCTTTGCTATGCCTGGACCCCATCCAGAAAACTCTGGAAAGAACACTATCACACAGAGAGAGAGAGAGTGGGGGAAGAAATGCCATGCAAATGAAAGGTTAAGAGATGAGGCCTGTCCTAGGAGGAAATGTTTCCTTTCCCGCTGACCTACTTTCCTCTCTCTACTTTTCTTCTTTCACAGAAAAATGTAGACTTTTTCTTTCCCATTACTTGACAAACAATTGCCATGGCAACAAGCAATTCCTTGAAGGTGGGAAGAAAGCTGCTTGTGATGCCTGGCTTTCCTTGTCAACTTGACACCATCTAGAATCACTAGGAAATGAGTCTCCAGGAAAGATTATCTAGAACAGGGTGCTCTGTGGGCATGTCTGTGGGGCCTGGCTCAGTTTCATTCACCGATGTGAGAAGAACCAGCTGATGTGAGCACCATCACAACCAGGTTTAGGTACTTGATTATATACTAGGTCTGTGATTTTGGAAAGTTTTTAAATATTTTGTTTGTTTTCGTTTTTCAAAACAGGGTTTCTCTGTGCAACAGTCCTGGCTGCCCTGGAACATGCTTTGTAGACCAGGCTGGCCTTAAACTCTCTGAGATCCATTGCCTCTGCCTCCCAAATGTTGGGATTAAAGGCATATGCAACTACTCCCTGACTTAAATATTTTAACTAGAGGTATCATTTATTTCAAGGGGTTGTCTTACATGTTGATGAATAACAAGGTCCCAGAAAAATGTCTAGACTTCACAAGTTTAAATAAATATTCTTTGCTTCTTATAATTTACCAGTGGGGTCTGTCTAAGAGTTTCTGTTACTGTGATAAAAAATGCCAGAGCCAAAAGCAACCTAGGGAGGAAAGAGTTTATTTCAACTTACAGTTCCACCTCACAGTCCTTCGCTGAAGGAACTCACAGTAAATGCTATCTGGATAAAAAGAGAAAAGGCGGTGACCAGCTGGTCAACAGAGAGCACACAGGGAATTTTCAAATCTCCACCAGTTCACGATTCTTGCCTGGCAGACTCCCAGATATAAAGAGGTCCCTGTGTAAGCTGCCCTCACATGCTGGACCAGCCTCTCTCCAGCTTCACAGATGTCTCACTAATTTCAGTGCTCAGGTATTTGATAGACAAGCAATTGCCCTGGCTCACACACTTCATAGAGATGGTGACACTAATCACACCTTCTGCCAGCCACTATCTGAATTGATTACAGACTCAAACCCGGTGCTGTTGTTCTGTTACACAGAAGGTACACCATCAACCAGCTTTTGTTTATTGTCCTACTATGAACCTATGCCCTCTTAGTAATGAAGCTGAAAGAAATGTCTCCATGAATGGGGCTAGAGAGATGGCTTAGCAGCTAAGAGTGCCTTCTACTCTCACAGTAGATCAGAATCTAGCATCCAAGTTGGGCTATTCACAACTACCTGTAACTCTTAACTTTGGGTGATTCCTTGTTCTCTTCTGCCCCCCCCACACACACCTTTTTTTGTTTAATGCAAGAAATGCCACCATCAAGTCCAGTGTATGGAGATATCAATCCCATCTACCACCCAATCTTGACACACAGATCATTTAACAGGATAGTTCTCTGTACCTTCAACATCGTAACAATGCAAAAACATGATGGTTGGTCCCATTCTACCATAGTGCCTTAGGATGCCATTTAGTGCCCACCTAAAGTACACACTTATATCTTAAATATGGACAGAAGCTGTCAGGGAGGGAACATCACTAAGTCTTCCTGCATAAACTAAGCTTTCTCTTTCAAGGTTAGCCCATTGGTGTTCTCCTATGGCTAATCACAGCCACCCTGGTCCTCTACCAGGGATAAGCAACAGGAAGAACACTGCCTCTCTAGGCATATTGTTACTTCATGCTCCTCTGAAGGGCATGGATGTTTTATTATAGTAACCCAAGGGCATAAAGCCTTACCCTCTTTCCACTGTCAATCAAATGGGATACTTTTTCTACCATTTATTTTCTCAAGCAGTCTATTTGTTCTTAGGAAGTGAAGCATTTTTCAGAATGACAGTCTGAGGTTTGGTGACACACAAACGGCTTGTATCTGTGATGGCACAAGCATATACCTCCCACACAGAACGGAGTCAAAGGCGAAGATTTAACGTTCTGACTTATAGGCAGAACTAACCAATCCCTGCCTCTCAGAAAGCACTCACGGAAACCCATGAATGCAGACATCACCTCAAACTCCAAAGCCAAAACTCAGGAGGAGGCATGTTCTAAAGGGGCCCTCCGATCGACCTCTCAGGGACAAAATGTGCTTATTTAACAAATGCATGGCCTGGAATTCACCTTTCCACTAAATAGTTGAGAAATAATTTATTAATCTTCCCAGCTAAGCTATGATCTGAGCTCCGGGGCTTTGGTAAATTGTTACCTCTACTACAAGTCTCTGACAGCAACACTTTGCAGCTGCACAGTATGAATTAAAGCTAGCAGAGCAGGAGGCTAATGGGGGTGTAGTAATACCTAATGGCTGTCACCACAGTATTCTTCAACTTTGAATGAAAAAACAGTAGACAGACCAGAATGACAAGAACTGAGGTACAACTGGTGCTCTCCAGACAATTAAGGAAGAGGCAGGCATTGGCATGACAAAGTGGGAAAGTCCTTTGGAGACCTACTTCTTAAGCACTGTGTGTAAGAAACAGTGCCTATCCTATCTGCTTGCCTGAACTAGATCCTTTGAATAGAAAAATTTTCTTGAAATGCAGGAGGCAGGCAACCATCAGTTTGGAGTTTAATAAACTATCCATTCTTTCTCTTTTTTTTGGTTTTGTTTTTTTCATTTTGTTTTGTTTTTTGAGGCAGGGTTTCTCTGTATTGTTTTGGACGCTGTCCTAGAACTCGCTCTGTAGACCAGGCTGGCTTCGAACTCACAGAGATCCGCCTGCCTCTGCCTCTGCCTCCCAAGTGCTGGGATTAAAGGTGTGTGCCACCAACGCCCAGCAAACTATCCATTCTTAAAATTATTCTTTCATCTTCTTATTTGTCATCTAGTATCCTGGATGAACCCAAACTATCAAGTAAACAATCCAAGGCTTTGGACCAAAAGTGACTGAGCAAGTCAATCATTTCTTCCCTCAAGCTCTGGCATCTTATCCACACTTTATAGAGATAGACCATTTGGATATAAACTGAACATTCCTCAAAGGTGTGTCTGGAAGCAGATGGAATGCATATCAGGGTCTATAGAGAGGATGCTGGGTTCCTGGAAGGGAATACTGCTCTCCTGAAGTGACCATCAAGAGGGTGAGTTATTGTAGAAGCCTGAGCCTGACAAGCCATTCTACAGCTTCCAGTTTTGAGATGTGCCCTCTCCCCACAAGCTTTCATTTGTTGAGATCATGATGAGGGTAAACCAACAAAGACACCTTTCCTGGTTAGCTTTAGCTACCAATGACACAGCCTAGAGTTACATGAGAGAATTCCAGGGGGGTGGGGGGGAGCCTCACTTAGATCCCCCCTGTGGGCATGTCTGAGAAGTGTTTTCTTGGTTGCTAATTGACACAGGAGGGCTCAGACCATTGTGCCTATGACTGAGTCCTGAATTATGTAAGAAAGGTAGCTGAGTAATTTCCCTCCATAGTTCCTGTCCCTGCTCCTGTTTGCATTCCTGTTCTGTTTCTTAGGTACCTGAGAGTGTAATTAACCCTTTCTTTCCCTAAGTTTCTTTGCTCAGAGTGTTGTAATCACAGCAATGAGAAAGCAAACTAGAATATTACCTAATTTGAGACTCTGAGCATCCCAAACTGGGTACTAAGTAAGCCTTTTTATTTTTTTTATTTTTAATAATAATGTTAGCCTGCCTGGGACATTTTGTTATAGTAACAAAAAGGTGACAAATATAATGAATGATACTAATTCTTCTTGAGCAGAGTACCTCTTGATAAGCTGGTTCCAGACAAGTGATTGGACATCACTGGCTCTGTGGCATGCTACAGCCAACACATAATGCTACTGTAATCTGTACACTACCATGCTACAGCCAGCAGATAATGCAACTGTGATCTGCTACACTACCATGCTACAGCCAACAGATAATGTAACTGTGATCTACTATACTACCATGCTATAGCCAACAGGTAATGCAACTGTGATCTGCTACACTACCATGCCACAGCCAACAGACAATCCAACTGTGATCTGTACACTACCATGCTGCTGAGATGGTACATGAAACAGAAGAAAGACGAAAGGCAGATATTGTGGCAACTGGCAGGATCCCACTGCAGGGAGGAAAAATACAAGTGTTAATCAGAAGTAAATGTCAAAGATTAGTATGCACAAATAAGTCTTTTTGATTATTTCTCCTTAAAAAAAAATCCAAACTGGGGCTGGAGAAATGGCTCATCAGTTAAGAACATGTACTGATCTTTCAAAGGACTTAAATTTGTATCTCATTGCCTATAATGCCAGCTCCAAGAACTGTGATGCCTTCTTTGGGTGTCTATATGCATAACTCCACATGGCTGGGCATGTGAACGCACACGCATACACAATTAAAAAGAAAAAAAAAAGGTCTGCAGAGATGGTTGAGCAGTTTCCAGCACTTGCTATAGTTTCAAGGGACCTGGCTTGATTTCCAGCATCCATGTGATTTCTCATAACCCAGGAAATCTAATGCCCTCTTTAGGCCTCTGGTACATGTTGCATACATATGCATATACATATATATACACATACATAAATACACACATGATATATATGTGCTATATATAAATCATCACATATATGATCATATATAGGAAAATACCTATACACATAAAATAAAAATACTTTAAAAAAAGAAAAAGAACAGCATTGACACTGATGGATGATATTAAAGGTCAGCCATGTCTTTGTTTTTCATCTCAAAAAGCAAAACTCCAAATGTGCATTTGTGGCAACTGAATGCTAGTTATGATAAGTAAGGCAGTAGCTGCAACACTCTTCACAGTTGTAGAAACTGACAGAACTGTTGATACACACACAAAAGAGTGACCATATGGGAGCTTAAACTAGCAACATACAAGGGGACAAAAAAAAAAAAAAAAAGGAGTCCAGAGATGATTCAAGTAAACAAGTAACTCTCAGTCTTGGTGCTAGAATCTCCTAGGGAGTGTTTTAAAATCCTGATACCCAAGCTGCCGGTTTATTACATCAGACTGGGGAGGGCAGATGTAAGTAAGCATCTATAGTTTTTAACTTGCCCCAACTGATTCCAGTGGCAGCCACGTGACTCTCCTTGTGGGGCGGTGGGCAGCATGCCAATCATATGACTTCATCTACACTGAAGTCATCTAATCCTACCTCCACTCACCCATGGACCTTCACTAAAATCCATGCAAGTTTCTGAATATCTTATTTTTCTCCAACTTGCACCTGGCTTATAGATATTGGCATGAACCATAACGCAAACAAGAAAACCCCTTGATACTCACCACCAACATGGTGAGCTTCCTCACCACCTGCCAACAACTTTTCAGCAGAGAAGTGGTTCTCAAACACGGGAATCTCAGAAGGTGGGCTGGGCCCCCAATCAGCACTTCTAACAGTTACTGCTGTTGCTTGGAAGACTGACATTCTACTGGAGGGTAAACTAAGTTAAAAGCAGGCTACTGGTCAGTGCCAATGACCAGCTGATATTCCCAAAATAATTTTGGGGACTAGGCATATGGCTCAGTGGGTGGAGTACTCATCATGAAAGCTGAATTTTGATCCCAGAACCCACATAAAAACCAGGCATGGCAGTATATCTGTAACTTCAGTGCTGTGGAACTCATTGGTAAGCCAGTGTAGCTGAGCTGGTGAGTTCCAGGTTCAATAAGAAACTGTGTCTCAAAAACTAAGATGGAAAATTATTGAAGACACCATATACCCACTATGGCTTCCACACCAATAAGGACACACATGTGTGCACATCACACATCACCACAAAGACAAACTAACACAGAGCAAGAAACAAAAAGGGTTTCTGTCAATCACAAAATAGCTTATCTCATCTAGAAACATTCAATGTGCAGGCTACAAAAGGCAGGGTTTTATACCCAGAACTTGCTAGAATCACACAAACTCAGGCCCCACCTCAAATCTACTAGGTCAGAATTTCTCTTCCAGGATCTCTATGTGACTCAACTGTACATCACCATTGAAGAAGCCTGGGCCTCAACCAGTTCCCTCAAGTGCAGCACATAGTTACTGAGCACATACTATATACAGAATCTGTTCATCTCAACAAACAGCAAACAGGATAGACAGCATCTACATCCTCATGGAGATGAGACAGAGCAAAAGTCAGAGCTGTATGACACCTGCCCATTTTCAAGGAGGCATTCAGTAACCAGGACAGACTTAGACCCCATGTTCCTAATTTCTTGTAGAGTAATAGAAAGAACACAGACAAACGCATGGATATCACAAACACACATACCTGTTCCTCCTGGTTTCCCAGGAAGTAGTTCCCCAAATCCTAAGTCTCTGCAGAATGTTTAGAGTGTCTCTGGCATACTAATGAGGGGACTGACAGCAGGAACCTCTACACAGCTATTGATGACCCCCTGAATCACCCAGATCTGAAGCCATAATTGGGACAGTTGGTCCCATTCTCCAACCTCTGGGAGGGGAGAGAAGATGGAGGTTGGCTCCTAAATGCCATTAATTTAGTCAATCATGGCTAAGCAATGAAATTGCATAAAAAACTGGCTCAGTGAGTTTCCAATTAGCTAACCTAAAGAACTTCCTGAATGGGGGTGCGGTGCCCAGAAAAGACTCAGAAGTTCCAGGACCCATGTCCCACATCTTGCCTAATTTATCTCTTTGGTGTGTGTTTCCCTGAGTTCCATGAGCTGCTGTAGCAAATTATGAACCCATAGGGTGTGCCATGGTAGTCAGAATCTATGACCTGTTGGCCTGGAACCTGGGGAAGGGGCAGGGCAGTCTTATGAGGAGGAGTCATAAATCTATAGGATCTGACTGACACTGTAGACCAAGTAGACGTCATGTGAGATTGAATTGGAAGGTATTTAGCTACAGAATTGCTCATGTATTGCTGGAAAGAAATATCAAAGGTTCCAGAAGTATTCTGAACTGAGTATTATGAGAATACAGTAGGAGAATGTGCTTACCCCTATAGCCTTACACCTCCATCAAAAACAAAACACAACATCCCCAAAAAAGAGATCACTAAAAACAAAATGAGGAGGGGACAGAGAAGGCTCAAAGTTTAAGAGCACATACTGCTCTTCCAGAGGACCTGAATTGTATTCCCAGAATCCACATCAAGCAATTCACAACCACCTATAACTCCAACTCCAGGGAGAATGGATGCCTCTAGTCTCCACAGACACCTGCACTCAGGTACACATATCCACACATAAACACACATAATTTAAAATATTTTTTAAAAAACTCAAAAAAATAAACAAGGGACCAGCAAGGTGGCTCGGTGAGATAGTTGAGTATGTATATGTATCATCACCAAGCTGGCTGACCTGTGTTCAAACCCATGATTCATATGGTGGAAGGGGAGAACTAGCCCCTGCAAGTTGTGCACACCCAAACGTACCTGCTTCTCCACACCCACACAGGCATGCATACGCACACATGCAAACACACACAAAATAGATTCAAATCTAATGAAGAATGAAAAATACAAATGAGCAATTTCTTCATAGCAAGTTAGAAAACTTGACAACCCAAAACTCAGTTCTCAAAAACTTCTCAAACCAAAGCAGCATGGCTATATAGTATCAAACAAGAAAGTTCATGTGTGTATGCAAATATTTGTTGTGAAGCTCGAATGTGATGAATAAAGTCAGGCTTCATCTCATATTGAAGTCTTTCCTCCCGTGCTTTGGGAAGTGCATTCAATAGGTTCTTCTACTGATTTGTTCAGAACAGATTGCTACAACACATTTTGATGATGACCCAATTTCTGTCTAGTTGAAGGGGTAGTAACGTTTATCTAGCTGTGTGCTTTTTATGGATCATCCAATTCAGTCATATTGTCCTGTCACACAAAGAAGAAACTAGCCTCAGCATAAAAGTCCCACAAGGCAGCACAGCTTGAAGTGGCAGAGCCAAGCTGGACATCCTGCCTTCCTGATGCTGCACAGGACCCCACCAGGGAACTTATGGGAGATACAGATCTTCAGGTTCTAATCTCAACCTGCTGAGTCAGAACCAAAAGTTAAGGCCTAGTAACTAATGTCCACAGTGACATTTGGGACACACTAGAGGAAAGGTCATCCCAGAGCCCAGTGGCCACCTCTCATTGGTTAAGACAGCTGGCAAAGATGTGCTGTTCACTGGTAGATCGTCTGACCTTTGTGACCTCCAGGATAGGATTTTGCTTCACCACCAAATCACAGTCATCCACAGGCCTACTATATGGCCTTCCAATCAGCTGTCCACAGATTGCTGGACAGAAAGACCAACATCTCTCCTGGGGCAAAGTGCCAGGAAAGCCTATGGTGCAGGCGCTAATCTCTATTAACATGCACAAAGGCATCCAAACACCTCTGTAATTCATGCATTCTCCTGTATTATTGTTATTATTAAATAAACACAGGGGTAAACCTTTCAGTAACTGATGAGGAACACCACTGCTCAGATCAAACAGCTTGTCATTTACTTATCTGTTCATCTCTTTCTCTCTCATACAGCCATCTTCAGCTATCTATATCTATACTGGCTTTAGAGTCTACACTCCTAGATTAGGATCCTTCCTACTAAACTGAGTCCAACCAGATCACTTTGGGGAAGGGGCCAACAAATTGGAAAATGCCATAAAGGAAAGCAGCAACACCCATTTTACCTGATTCTAATTCAAGCTTCTCAAAATACAGATTATAGGCAACCTGCCTAAGAATCATTCTTAAAAGGATCCCCCCCCCCTTTTCTTTTTTCTTCTCAAGACAGGGCTTCTCTGTGTATCCCTGGCTGTCCTGGAACTCGCTCTGTAGACCATGCTGGTCTCAAACTCAGAGATTCACCTGCCTCTGCCTCCTGAGTGCTGGGATTAAAATCGTTCACCACCACAGTCTGTCAGGATCTTTCAGAACACATACGAACCGAACGAACGAACGAACGAACACACACACACACACACACACACACACACACACACACACACACACACACACACACACCATTTCTGAGCCCAAGATCCATATATTTAACCCCTATTCAACAAAGTCATGATATAAATTTTGAGGCCAACTGCTTCTTGGCCCAAGTTCATAGTTACATGAAAATTATCAGGCTCACCGATCTTCAGAACCATCATGTATACAACACATG